ATCACTGTTGAAAAAGTGGGTTTTAAGAGCTCTCACCTTTTTCTGGATTCCGATAATTGACGGCATGATTAAACGTCTCTCATACTTTGATACGGTGCTAATGCTTTGAATAATTAGTCTTTGTGAAAGCCCACCGCATCCTTTCTGATCCCCGGGCTTGTGGATTTAGGGGCATGGCTGATAAACTCGACGGCCCATACCACTTGGTGGCACTAATGAGCTACGTATTCTTTCGTATGCAGGACGGTTCTCCTCGTCGCCTGGACTCTTCATTTCACAAACTCAATTATGGCATTGTCGATAACCATGAGACAAACGTTCGCACCATTCCGATCATGGATGCTCTTGCCCATATCTGTGTTTCGGCGGAAAAGGGCCAAACCTTCGCCGTAGCTCTACAATTGGACTCTGTGAAAGAAGAAGCTCACCTAACGATCGCCGAGAACAAAGAGGTGATGAGTGCCCTAGTTCTCCATCTCAACAAGATATGGGGAAGGTTGCAAGCCCTATCGAATCAGTATGCGGAGCAGAGGATTGCGAAATCGGAGGTCCACCAGCTGTGGTCAGCAAACCAGGTGGAGTTACCACCGCTCCTGGTGGAATCACCAAAAATGCCCCCAGACGTGGGTATCTCTTTGAAAATAGAGATATTTCGCGACATATATCAGTACTCCTTGGTAAAACAGATGAGTCAAATAACCAAGTGGTGGGAATGCCTTGGCCTGTTCCTGGTAATGTTGGATGAACTCCGTTTGGGTGCCGACCTGGAAGGATTTGAACAGGACCTGTACAACTTGATGCTTGCGTTGTCACCGCTAGTGCGTTTAGTTCGCAGGCATTACAATAGTCCAGGAAATCCAATCACGGATGAGGAATGGGAAGAAGCATATCCTGAAGGCATGATGGCCAACCACTATGCGAACCTTGTGCTTGCGGATAGACAGGAGCGTGGCTGTGAAATCTTGGCCCTGAAATTATAAGGTATGCCATTTCCACTGCCCATTACATTTTCTGTTCAAGCCTTTAATTAACTTCCCTTTTGTACTAGGTAATCGTCGCTGAGACCCCTTCCCGATACGACGCGCCCTTGAGAAACTCACATCCCTACCCCGCCACATTGACACTCTATTAGGATTTGCCCATTCCCCCCGCCTCCGGCCCGCCTTGCAATACCGCATGTTCATTTCTCCTATCCCAAAGTAGACTCGTACCATAAAATTACCCCATCGCAGGAGGAGTGGAAGTTCTTCTTGAAGACTGCATGTGGTGAGCACGATGACGACGGGCTAGAGGCTAGTGCGGTGGAACTTTTAAAAAGGTTCGGGTCTAAGGAATGGGTGTGCCCAGTCCACTGCGAATGTGGGCTTATTCAGTACCTCCAAACTAAGCAGGGTAGTAACTGGGACAACGTTCCCGCATTTGGCTACATCAGGGTCTCCAAACCCAGCTGCAGTTCCTGCCGCATCTGGATAGAAACCCTGGGGGACACCCACGGTGAATGAATCCTTGGTGGAGGAGTCTTTGGAGAAGAAGATGGCAGAAAAGGTTTTGAACGAATACCACGCACATCTGGTAACAGAGATGGCGGCGTGTAAGAGAGGAGGTTTGGAGAGCAGCGGTGCGTCACGGTACTCATCCGGAGCACGAGATGTTCTAGGCTTTGATCGCGCGGAACATGCTATGGCTCACGCTAAGGCACATGAACAAAAGTCTGGAGGTAGGCGGGTGTTCCTTCTCGCTAGATTTGGTGATTTATCGAAGCAGTAGAATAGTGAATGTGTTTTAGGCTGTGAGATGTTTCGGAGATGGGACAAAATGGGTGGATAACATTAGAGACAGGCTGATTTTGTCTGGCCTGTTCATTGTACCCCCCCTGTTTGTTAACCCCTCTATATCCGGCGGGCTTGGGGAAATATGAATGCTAGCCATTTTCTTTCTTGTTTTTTCCTTTTTTCTTGCTCGTGATAGTCGAGCTGGTACTTCTTGGTTGTGGTAGAGGACACATCTAGAAGCTGGCTATAGACTTGGCTACGGGTTCTACTGCTTACTCTATAGTATCATACCTTCTACTTTTTTTTTCTCTGACAAGATCTTGGCTACTTTCCACACTCGGTCTGCTCTCCCCTTGAACCTAATAAAATATGCTTATAGCTTTCTTCTTACTCACTTCCCCATCATTACTACGCTCTCGTTTTCCTCACTATCATACACCCAATCCACAATTATCCCCATTCATGCTTTTTCCCCCTCATTTGTTGCCTGGAGGGTCGGTTTCACATGTCCCACAATACACCGTTTGCTAACTTGTAAAGCAAATTCAACTAAAATCTATTTGATCTGGTGTAGGCTTCGCGCTGCTTGTTTACGATTTGTGTAGTAGAAAACACAAGTTCTCCAAGTTCCCAGCTTGAGAAACCCGAACAGCGCCCGGAGTTAGAACCGCACAGCAAGTTCCCCTTCCAAAAGCCAGAAAATACTGCCCGGTATTTACTTATAGATTCTTGCCACCTCCACCTGACCCTTCCCTCGGACCACAGAAAATGGTAAAATTACACTCATCTATCATCACCCAATCCCTATTGCCTCCACCATGATTGCATAAGTGCACACCCATCATCGACGCAGCTCGGCATGAGCTCGATGGGCAGGAGAGCGGGGGGGGGGGGTCGGTATGGTGTCGGAAAGTGGGATAGTTTGCTAGCCTTCATCTCATATACTGCTTGAGACGGTGACTTGAGTAAATCCCCGACCAGGCACTCTAAGTCCAGATTGGTAGGGTGTTATTAGGCGAAGTCCAATGATATAGTTTGCCTCCCCTTTGGAGCCCCTTTTTTTTGTGGTATTTTGTTGGTTAGCGTTTGCGGTAGGAAAAGGTAGTGAAAGGAAAATAAAAAGGAAACGAAACCCACTGGCACCGACCGTCACTCACATTATGATACCTCTGAATATGGTTGGATGTTTTAGTCATGCATGATTGCTTCTGAAACAGTGGAAGCTATCATAGTTAAAATAAAAAGTGAAATCCATTGATACCAACTAACTTACAGAATCATTTGCATTATCTTTAAGTTTAGTCAAAAGCTATCCTGTAATTTCACAGGAAACCCAATTTTGATTTCACGCTCATATACTCTTTTGTATTTTAAAACCATGTTTGGCCGAAGAAAATATGACTCTACACACATTTCTTTCGCTCATTCATGACGTTCCGCTACATTCCTTGTATTTAAGGTGTTGAATTTGAGCTATTAATACCCAAGTGACTCAGCACCTTAGCTGTCGACATCGCAGTATAGGACTGGGCCATAGCTGAGTTAATACCGGTAGTGTGGGAGGCGGAAGAGCGGAGATCGTAGTAGCAGTTATGATGGGTATTTGCAGGAATTGTCAATCGACTATGCTAACTTGTGAGACGTTATACAAGGGCGCTGCTGGTGTGATACAGGCGTGGTGCTAGACAGCCAGAGCCCACCCACACGGTCAAGTAAGCCAGAGACCGTATGATAGGGCATGATGCTGATGGTTGGCTTGCACTATCCTTGATTCGTATGATAGCTAACTAACCACAAGACGCCCAGGGACGCATACTATCGCCAGCTTGCATTTTTGGGTGCGTTACAGTACTAATCGTTACTCCAGTTCCAGCAGCCCTAGTTTTAAAAATGTTTCCCACAAAGACTATTTCAATATCGAAAGTATATACACACCGATTTTCCCGCTTTTATCATCACCATGCAGAGCCAGACTGATTTTGCGGTATTCTTGCGACGAAAAGGATGCGAGGGTGTTTTGTGTGTGACCCAGCATTCCCGTTTAGGTTTTGGGGGGGTTGATTGAATTTACTTAGAGTAGGCGGTTTCGTGGTGTACGAGTAGTTCGTTATTAATACTAAGGTACAGTACACGGTCAGGATACAAGGATAAATAAATTATAATAATATCGAAGTTCAGGTTGGAAAAATATCAACCCCTCCCACACTAAACCCAATGTAGCCAATCCCGGTGGGCGCCGAGCTGCACCATGCAACCAGCCTGTCCAAAAACCAGACTTGTCATATCAGATCACTCGTAAACCCGCTCTTGGCTGAATTATTGCTAGTGTTTTCTAACTAAAAGAACAGATTTACTTATAATATCTCTATTCAAAAGCATAGTTTGCCGAAGTGTTCCTAGATTCACTGAGTGATCTATAAAATGCTGGCATGGATTTTCATACTTGAATTGTGCTGTACGAGTACTAATAACTACTCGAGTATGATACCTTTCGAGAGAAAACTCACTCTATCCTCCCAGCACAGTGATCTTTCATACGAGTGCGATCCCATGACTTGACGACTGGAGGTATTACCTCCAAGTCGCTTATTATTATTTTCCATTCACCCCCTAATACTCGAGTGTAGGGGTTTCCTAATACCTCTTCACCGGGCAAGAAATTCATTTCCATTTTCATTATATCTGGGCTTCGGTTGTTTGTCGTTTTGAGGCCTTGCATCTGTTGGTGGGGGGGTAAGAAAAGAAGCAAGATTGGGATTTTAGTTTGATAAGCCGGTACGTTAGTTAGCTCATCCTCGAGTACTCGGACTCGAGTAGTCCCGGGCTCTGTAAACCTCTTAATCTGGTTATCGGCGCTTTCTTTCTTTTTTAGCGGTCCGCTGCTCGGGTGTCGTCTATGATACCATGGGATAAGTTAAGGATTGTATCATACTATCATTGTACGGTACGTGGAGGCATCCTCGTGGTTAATTTGGTTGCCACACTCCTCTCAGCCGGTAGCTACGTTAACAAATATATAAGATTTCGTTAAGGACAGAAATTCGACCCAAGAAGGAAAAAAAGGTCAAGAGATACACCATGACGCAAGGAATGAAAAGCCAAACAAACGCCCAACCATAAGAGAACCTTGAGAAACTAAACTCATCCACTGTTCCTGTTTTTGACATCCGCGAACAAAACGAATACGGGGAGGGAGAAAGAAGGGAGAAAAAATAAACCCAGTATCGTTTATATAGCTCTTCCAGAGGCAGTTGCTTGGACAGGAGCCGGTTCCGTGTCGAATGTCAAATGCGTGTGATCTCCCAATTTCCTAGGCTTGTAAAAGTGGCTAGCAGTGAATAATGCACCGAGAAGAATGCAAAGACCCGAAACGAGTACATAAGTTATACCCAGCCATGGGTTTCTCCCACCCAGAACGCTTGATGTCGAGATAACGATAGACTTGGTGCCGGAGTATGCAGAGGACGGAAAGTTGTAGGCAATTTGTACCTCATAGGTCCCTCTCTTCATAGGCGCGGAGTCGTTCCTCATCGCAAGCTTGTTGAACATCGGGAAGCCTGCAGTTCTCATCCAAACTTGGAACTCTTCCATATCATGCAAGTTTGGAAGTGTTTCGTCGGTATACGTTTCGCCATATCTCTTGACCCAATTTGGTGGCGGTACAACCTCGTCAGGTTTATACTTGGTTACCCCATACCTCCCTCTATCTGAGTTCCACGATATGCCCTTGTTTGTCATGTGATAGGTTTCGTTATCTTTGCCGCTACCATCTTGTGTGTTGAGAAGAACAGGTTGCTCGAAGGTGTCGTTGAACATGGAATTTGCAATCAATCCGCATGGGTAATAAGGTTTCCCTTCGGAATTTGCGTCAAGCGGCGAACAGGTACCCAAGGCACCTTTTGATCGGGCATCACCCTTTAATTGCTTTTCGTCTAAAGATTTTACGTAGCGTCGGTGGTTTTGGTAGAAATTTGTTAGCCGATAGTAGAAGAATACTGGAGGCTCAAGTTTATTCGGCAAGCTGAAATGTAGAGTGCATGTCTTTGGCGTATCATCACCAGTACCGTTACTCGAAAACATCCACATTGCTCGATCATTCACAGGTGAAGTGAAGTGTGTGTGGACGTGTTCCGAAGGAATGTCTTTGAGCTTGCCGGCCGCTTCTGGGCAATTGGTGTAATCGATGGAGATTTCTTGTATCTTGGAACTACCCAAGATCATGAGACCTCCGATTGGTCCAAGTACAATACCGAGCGCGAAAAGAAGAGGGAGAACAGTTCGCGGTGTGAGAATTGGTCTGAAAACGAGGCGCTAGAGCTTAGCGGGTCTGGAGGTTGTTTATTTGTTGCTGGAAATGTGGAAACTTACTGCCAGGCTTTCAAACGCTGTTGTTTGAAAGCGGTATCTATGATCCCACAGTCAACGTTTGCATCATCTCACAGGCGTGGGTAGCTATACTTCCAGGTTTTCTACTCTTTCTTCTTGAGCGCTGCTCTGGTTCGCCATCTGAACTTGCCATGGTCAAACTTAAGATGTTAAAGGAAGGTTGTGTTTCGTGGAAAGGGAGGGTTGGTTTATTTCGGTGAGAAGGAAGGAACAGTTGAAAACGAAGCCTCCGGTAGAGTAAGCAGGAGCTATTTCACACAAGGGGGCAGGCGCTATAGCATGCCAAGCTCTTAAAACCTCATACAATTCACGGCGTTGGAGGGAAAGAAAAAGCCCCTTGGCGATGGCCGGGTAATTCATGTTTATTCACAACGCGCTGTGGTGTTTCCTGGCAATGCAAAACTTACCTTACCGCTTGTCATTGCTCCCCTTCAACGCAATCAAAGCTCGTCTCTAACCTGGTCTTTACAACGTTACATAGTTCCTAGAGCTTGAGGAATCATTCCCTTCATACGTGTCACTGTTATACCCCTCATTTTGGGTGTGTATCCCGCAGAAAATCGTCTTCACACGAGGCAAGATGTCGGGCAACTCTAATATGTTCATGTACTCGCTGACGGTACTTCAACCATCGGCCATAACCCAAGCAATCCTTGGAGCGTTCAGCGGAAAGAAGCAGCAGGAAATAATTGTTGCCCAAGGATCTCGGTTATCATTATTACGACCCGATGCAGCGCAGGGAAAAGTACATTCGGTTCTTACGATTGATGTGTTTGGGATTATTCGATGTTTGGCGGCATTCAGATTAGCCGGTAGCTCAAAAGGTATGTCTGTGGCTTGCCCCCCTGTTTCTTCTTCCACTCTGTCTCTGCTGCAGTTTAGTGATTTTTGGAAGTTGTTTAAGGTCAGCGGAACACTAGCTGGAGAGCCGAGCTGCCCACTCATTGGTAGCATCTGGGCAACCTTTGCTAACAATTGCTCTTCTAGATTATGTGATTGTCGGGTCCGATTCTGGTCGTATTACTATTCTCGAGTACCAGCCACAAGTTAATAAGTTCCACCGGCTACATCTCGAGACTTTTGGAAAGTCTGGTGTTCGCCGTGTTATTCCGGGACAATTCCTTGCGTGCGATCCAAAGGGGAGGGCGTGTCTTATATCTTCGGTAGAGAAGAATAAACTCGTCTATGTTCTCAATCGCAATGCTCAGGCGGAACTGACGATATCCAGTCCTTTAGAGGCACACAAACCCCATTGTCTTGTGTTTGCACTTGTAGCCCTGGACGTCGGATATGATAATCCGGTGTTTGCAGCACTCGAAGTTGATTACGGGGAGTCAGATCAGGATGCCACAGGAGTTGCGTATGAGAACATTGAGAAAATGCTAGTCTACTACGAGCTGGATTTAGGGCTCAATCATGTGGTACGAAAGTGGTCAGATACTGTGGACCGATCTGCCAATATTCTTTTCCAGGTACCAGGTGGCACAGATGGGCCTTCGGGTGTTTTAGTATGTGCAGAGGATAGTATATACTACCGTCATATGGGGAGATCGACCCATAGAGTGCCTATACCTAGGCGTCGGGGAGCATGCGAAGACCCTAATAGAAGAAGAACTATTATTTCAGGTGTCATGCATAAGATGAGGGGTGCATTCTTTTTTCTGTTACAAACAGAAGATGGTGATTTACTCAAAGTAACATTGGATTATGATGATGAATCCGGTGTCTCGCGAATAAAGGTGAAATACTTTGATACTGTTCCTATTGCTTCGAGCCTGTGCATCTTGAAGAGCGGGTTCTTGTTTGTGGCCTCGGAAGGAGGCAACCAGTAAGTCCAATTCCCATACCTGATTATGGATGACATTTTCTCACATTTCGCCTAGTCATTTTTACCAATTCGAAAAGCTGGGGGACGATGATGAGGAGATTGAGTTCTCAAGTGATAATTTCTCACCGGATCCACTGGATAGAACTGTACCTATATATTTCCACCCACGCGCACCAGAGAACTTATCCCTCGTCGAGGCCATCGATAGCATGAATCCTTTGGTCGACTGCAAAATTGCCAATTTGACTGACGATGATGCGCCCCAAATATATACTGTTTGTGGGTCTGGCCCACGATCTACTTTCCGGACCTTGAAGCATGGCCTTGAAACTACAGAGATTGTCTCATCCGAACTACCTGGTGTGCCTAGCGCTGTGTGGACCACAAAACTTACAAACGGCGACGAGTTCGATGCCTACATTGTCTTATCATTCACCAATGGGACACTGGTGCTCAGTATCGGGGAGACAGTGGAGGAGGTTACCGACACTGGCTTCTTATCATCCGCTCCAACACTCGCAGTTCAACAGTTGGGCGAGGATGCGTTACTCCAAGTCCACCCCAAGGGAATTCGCCACATTAGGGCAGATAGGAGAGTCAATGAATGGCCAGCACCTCAGCATAGATCAATTGTCGCGGCTTCTACAAACTCCCGACAAGTTGCTGTGGCTCTATCTAGCGGAGAGATCGTGTATTTCGAGATGGACAGTGATGGACAGCTGGCAGAGTATGAGGAGAAGAAAGAGATGTCGGGGACAGTCACCTGTCTCTCACTCGGGGAGGTTCCAGAGGGGAGGGTGCGGAGTTCCTTTTTGGCGGTTGGCTGTGATGATGCCACCGTTCGAATACTCTCACTAGATCCTGATTCCACTTTGGAATCAAAATCTGTTCAAGCCCTTACCTCTGCACCTTCGTCGTTATGCATCATGTCTATGCCTGACTCTGCGTCGGAAACATCACGTTCCTTAACACTTTATCTGCACATTGGTCTTTATAGTGGTGTATATCTCAGAACAGTACTCGATACAGTAACTGGAGAATTGACAGATACTCGAACAAGGTTTTTGGGGCCCAAGCCAGTCAAGATATTCAAAGTTATTGCGCAGGGGCTACCGTCAGTCCTCGCCCTGAGCAGTCGACCATGGCTGGGATATAGTGATGCAAGAGGTCAATTCATGCTTACACCTTTGACGTATCCCATGCTAGAATGGGGTTGGACATTCAGCAGTGAGCAGTGCCCGGAGGGAATGGTAGGAATTCAAGGGCAGAATCTGAGGTAGGTTCAATATTCTCCCATAGTGTGGCTTCTCGAAATCCCGGATGTATACTAATGAATCGGTTAGAATTTTTACCATCGAGAAGCTCACAGACAATCTCCAACAAGAGTCCATCCCACTATCATACACCCCCCGAAAAATGCTCAAGCATCCTGATCAACCTGTATTCTATGTTGCTGAGGCAGACGCCAACACGCTCTCCGTCGCTACTAAACAAAAGCTAATGAACAGCGCCCAAAACGGTGACACTAACGAGCTCGCCCCGGCAGAGTTCGGGAACCCGCGTGGCGAAGGCCACTGGGCATCCTGCATCTCTGTTGTGGACCCCATCAGCAAAGAGGTGACCCAGCGGATCGAACTCGAAGAGAACGAAGCTGCCTTCAGCATTGCGGCAGTCAGCTTCTCCAGCCAAGATGACGAATGGTTTCTAGTAGTCGGTACAGGAAAAGACACCTGCCTCTCTCCGCGCAAGTCTGCAAATGGCTATATTCACATCTACCGCTTCTTAAATGACGGTAAGGAGCTAGAATTTATACATAAAACAAAAGTAGACGAACCTCCTCTCGCCCTCCTAGGATTCCAAGGCCGGCTGCTAGCGGGCATAGGCAAAGATTTAAAAATCTACGATTTAGGGATGAAGCAACTCCTGCGCAAAGCTCAAGGCCAGGTTGCTCCGAACGTCATCAATGGTCTCCAGACACAGGGATCGAGAATCATAGTCTCGGATGTGCAGGAATCGGTGACTTACGTGGTATACAAGTACCAGGACAACCGTCTAATCCCATTTGCAGACGACATGATCCCGCGCTTCACCACGTGCACCACAATGGTAGACTACGAGACAGTTGCTGGTGGTGACAGATTTGGTAACTTCTGGATCGTCCGCTGTCCACAAAAGGCCTCCGACGAATCCGACGAAGACCCCGCCGGTGGACACCTCATTCACGAACGATCATACCTCCAGGGCGCCCCCAACCGTCTAAACCTAATGTGCCACTTCTACCCCCAGGACATCCCAACCAGCGTTCAGAAGGCACAGTTGGTGACCGGCGGCCGCGACACACTTGTCTGGACTGGCCTCCAGGGAACAATCGGCCTGATGGTCCCGTTTGTCAGCCGCGAGGATGTGGACTTTTTTCAGACACTGGAACAACACATGAGGACCGAAGACGCGCCCATTGCTGGAAGGGATCACTTAATTTATAGGAGTTACTACGTACCCGTAAAGGGCGTTATTGATGGGGATTTGTGTGAGAATTACTCGCTCTTGTCCAGGGATAAGAAGGCCATGATCGCCGCAGAGTTGGACAGGAGCGTTAGGGAGGTGGAGAGGAAGATTGCTGTGAGTCTCCCCCCTCGCTGTCTGGGCGAGTGAGCGAGTATTAATGTTGTTGGGTAGGATATGCGGAGTCGGGTTGCGTATTAGTTTGGTGGATCGGTTGTATCATCTCAAAAAAAGGAAATTGGAAAAAACACTTGTGTAGCGATGGAGTGTATTCTAAGGAAAAAAAGGGGGGGGATCCCAAAAATTCTAGTCCTGTTCATGATGTGTTAGTATTGAATACCATTGTTTGTTTTCTTTTCTTTTCTCCTTTTCACAATCATCACATTAGCCCACTTGAGAGACTTGTATGTATACCATAGCACAGCACCGGTAGGCATCCATCGCCCCATAGTTTGAGTATATCAGGCCATAGTAATAGTAATCCATTGTAATCATTCAATCTCACTCGTTTTTACACCGCTTGTGCCTGCGCTACCGTATGATACTCATGATATGCACAAGCACTCCAATTCGCGTTCATGGCATCTACATAACACACGGGACAACCCAAATATGTCGCCGGTATTCAACAACGACCCGTTTTATATTCCCACTTTTCCCACCCCGTACCATCCCATATACCACCAAATCCCTCTATACCGAATATAAACCACAAAAAAGGGAAAAAGAACCCTTGCATCCATCCATCCGTCCACTCATCCAACATCCTTATGATTTCAAAATCCATTAACAAACAGTGGTATCAAGGTATCCCACTCAAGCAGTACTCCTCTCCTCCAACTTTCTCCTAATATCCGTACTACTCATCTTGACCCCCCCTTCATTATCGATAACATCCACCTTATACACCTGCAGCGCATCCCAACTCTTCTCCGTACGCTTCTTATTGACCGCTTCGCCACCATTCTTCGTCTCTTCGGATACGACGAGCGCAGAGATAGCCTCGTTAGTGATCGTGGGCCCAAAGGGATCATTGATCTCTACAGTCTCGATGACAAGCTCCTTCTCGCCACCGGGGATAGTGGCAGTGATTGAGCGAGGCGTGATGTCCGTCTCCGGCGTTGACGATGAAGGCGAGGTTAGGAGTTGGGATGGGTTCGCGGAAAAGTCAGTGATACCGCGGAGGAAGTCTACGACTTCAGCTGCGCGACTGTCCCAGGAGCCCAGGTGTGCGCTGTGCTTCTTGTTAATGAGGAGGGTTTCGCCAGTTATGCCCGCCACGAGACGGGGCGCTGCAGCGTTCGGTGATAGGAGGAAGGCGGTCATTGTTAGGAGGAGCTTGTGGCCGGGGTGGAGGTGGTCGAATGTTCCGCCAACTTTATACGGGTCAGCAAATGGATGTAAGGAGGTGGTGCTTGTAGACGGCATACCAGCCACTATTAAGTGCTCGACTGCAGCATCGTCAAGTTTATCGTTTTCAACTGCTTCTTTTGGCTCCTCTTCGCTTAGAGTGACAATTTCGCACCGCCAGACATCGGTGTATCCGGTGACCTTGTCTCCACGGTAACACAAGAATGCCTTTTCGATGGCCTGGCCTTCCGCTTCTTCCTTCTCTCTATTTTCTTGTCCTTCTGAGGATCCCGGGCTATGTGCTCCCACAATGATGTTCTTCCATTCTCGCCCAGATTTTGCAAGCTCACGTAAACCAATGACTGGCCCAAATCCGGAAGCCCTTTCTTCCTCCTTGGGTCCTATATCACTCAGGAGGATGATTCGGGCATCCACGGCAAGCTCCCGTTTCTCCTCGACGGCCACAGAGTTCACGATTGAGTATAACCTGGCTAATAAGTGTTGGGTCTTGTCGAAATGCCTTCCACGAACAGCATTGAGGGAGGAGAGGAACGGAGCGTAAACAGCGATGTCCAAGGTCGAAGGCGTATCCAAAGGAGCTGCTCTAAACGCCGCACCAAAGGCTAATTTGTAGGTTTCCATTAATGAAACCAACGAGTAACTCTGGGGAGAAGGCAGAAGCAGTAAGTTGTGTTCCCTCTCTCCGCCTCTCGTTTCGCCCTTGAAATTACCATGAGTCTCGGTCAAGGCACTGTTCCCAGAACCCTCTTCCTCCACTGAGTGATCATCATCGATATCCAAATCGAATTCATCATCCTCAACCTCATCGCCTTCTATACTGTTCTCAATTTCAAGCTCTCCCTCCTCTTCTCCGTCGGCTTCCTCCTCATCAGATTCGGATTCATCGCTATCTGGATAGTCCTCATCCTCATCCAACTCCTGTCCGTGTTCTCTGCTACCAGCCCCACGGTCGAACTCATCGATCTCTTCCTCATCAGAGTCCACCTCGCCAAAAGAGTTTTTAGACTTTAAGCCTTCAGCCTCTGGCGGAAGAGTCAGATTGTCCTCGGGGATTAGGCTGTATTTTTCTGATACTGTTTTGAAGAACTAAGCCCGCCAGTCAGAAGAGATAGATCATGGGCAATGTAGAGAGGCAGAGGGAAACCAACCAAATATAACCCGAATTCATTCTCCACCTCCCAAAAAACGCTTCGGTGTTGGAACCAGGCATGCGCAAATATCCTATACAATCTCCTGAAGATGCTCGCCAGGTGTTTGACGCTGGTATTATGAGGGCTCAACCTACTAGGGAAATAGCGATTAGTGCAAAGCATAGTCGCAGCCTGGTCCAGGGTATGGGTAGAGTAGTCAATTGCACAGCAAGACTGCGGGGGATCATGTACAGCGCAGAGGTACTGCCATTCGCTTGCCCTCATCTCAGGGCAAGACGAGGCCGTGCAATTGTCCTTGAGCAAAGCTACCAATAAAATATTCAGATCCCTAGTAAGACGACGAGTGAGTTCATAGCACCACAGGTATTCCTCAATACCCTCCGGAGGTGTCGCCAGGCGTTCACATGCCTCTCGGGATAGGGGAACTGTGGTATCTGAGCCCGGCGGGGAAGTGGTAGCTGCGAGCAAAGAGGCCAAATGCTCCTGCAATTGGAAAGCCGATTCGAGTTCACTAAGGGGAACCAGAGGAGGCCCAGCGGCGATATGACGAGACTTGGTGCCAGGCCGGATGCGACGAGTGGCAGAATTCGACACGGGTCTCACGGGAGACTTGGAGAGGGAGAGGGATAGCGGAACAGGTGATATTTGGACTTCGGTGAAGGGGGGAGGCGAAGGGAGTCGTGGAGGAGAGGACAGTGGGTTGGAAGAAGGACCCATGGCAGCGGCACCAGTAGTGTCAGTTGTAGTGGAGAGGAAGAGAAAGCTGCAAGTGAGAGAAGACCAAAGACAGGGATGTCCGGGCGATGCTAGCGGGGGAGGGGCCTCGTTAGGGTCAATTGCGCACCGATGCACGCAAGTTACTTGTACTCGTAGTGCAGCCGAGAGAGAGAATTAGATATGAAATGAATGCCGAGACAGTACCGGTACTCGAGTGCAATACCTTTAAGGGGGAGAGACGTGAGGCGTCAAATGAGGCGTCAAATGAGGCGTCACCAGGGAGCAATCACGACTGCCCCCTCGAGTAATTTACTCGAGCACAGTACTCGTACTTGTAGCCACTGCTGCAGTTATTGGTAACTTATGATAAACGAGCAGGATATTTGCAAAGTATCATACTCGTACAGTGATTAGAGGTACTTGTGGCACCAGTGCTGCCAATGGGCATTGCCTTCATCAGATTCTCCACCAATTCACTCCGACAGGAAAATAGTGTTGGATCGCGGAACCGACTAGTTGGTCATGTTCTCGCTCATCTCCATCTCCATCCGATGCTCATTCTCATTCCCATCCCTCCAGCGCCCAGCTCGTTGGCCGCCTACCTGTAGAGCAAAACTTGCGCGTAGGTGACCGGACAATTGAAGATTACAAGTAAAAAAACCTAGGTGGGATTATCTAGAAGTTCTCTCTCGTTTGACCAATTCCCATCCTCTTAATTTATGAGAGTGCCGGCAGTAAGTTCGACCACCCGGCCTCGAGGATCCCTCACTGTCCGATCGCCCCAGCGCGGGCGGCTTGGCAACACTCGGTTTGATCTTGAAGAATTCAAATTGGCACGATGCAGTAGACTACTGTGCGTTGAACCGGTCTTTCAACACAGATATCTCTCCTCTCCACAAGCAAGGTACTCGAGTACTGTTGGTGTCCGATGCAACGTCAAAACCCGGGCTTTCTGCCACTTTTCCCTGCTTCCCCTACGTGGTCAGCAGCAGTTACGAGAAGAGGATAAAAATCTCGGACATCAAGCTTATTTTTTCTCCTTTGTATGAGGCCTTCTGCAATGTTAGTCAATGACCTTATATAAACCTCCATGTCAAAAGTGTTGTCTCATACCCTGTTTTCCCGGTATATTCATTACCTGGAAAAAATAATAAAAGAAAATTATTTTAAGATTATTTAAAATTATAAAGAGTAGATATTCACAAGGAGAATCTTTATATAATTTTTCTTTATTTTACTTATCCTACAAGGCCAGCTCCTATATTCATACAATGGCCAACATGGAGTGCCAAGCCCCCATATGAGTTTGGCTGACTTTGGTGGGGATTTGCTTTCAGTCATGCTATGCTTAGATAAATCCAGGTATGATACAGCTCCTACAAATATGAAAAATTTGCTATTTCTATTAAATGATAAGATAGTTCTTGTGAAAACAAACTTATATAAATTTTCTGGTCATCTTTATGATATTTCATTCTATAGAAATCAGCCAGTTAATTACTCATGTTTAGGCATTTTCTGGTAGAGTTTTAGAAAGTGAGGCAATACTTTTAAGAAGTGATAGTAATACAACATTATGTCTCACCGGTCTTGAATAACATGTTTGTATTGTTCAATTTCTGACATTGCAATGTATTGATTTGTTAGGCTAGTTTTCTATTGAATATATCTTATTCTCAAAAGAGAATTTCTAAATTTACTATCATCTACTGATTTATTGAGATGCCATCTATAAATTTGTGTCGTCAACCACTTCGAATTGTTGTAGTGTTACTGTTGCTAGCATCAATATGGTAAGTTACGAGAGCTTATTAGACACAATTATACTCGTGCAGGGATGGATAAAAATGATAAACCAAGTCATTGCCTTTGTTCCGCTATCATAAAATATCACTCGGACATGCCGCGTGCGACCAGGGTTCCCCTATATTCCCATGCCCCGCTGTCGGCGAGGGTGACCAGTGGAGGCCATGCCCAACTGATGGACATACGCGGACGTCGTGGAGAAACCTTACGCAAAAAAAAAAGCCCGTATGAAAAAGAATTAGAAATGTCAAATTTATGGTTCACTACTGCCCACCATTATATATAATACAGAATATAGAAGAGCGATAGCAAGAGTAGCTAAAGAAGGTAGCGGCTGGGGGTACGCGATCATGGCAAATAGGGGTATTTGGTAAGCGACATAGATGCGCGCTCAGATGATGCGATTTACATTCTTCTAATCTGAGTCTCGTTCGTGAAGGCATCCAAATTGTCCAAGTTCGACCACCACTCAAAGAGCATCGTGTTGCAAATGAGCTTGAACCATGGAGTAAAGGAGAGCTTTTCGTCCTTGAACATCTCCCGCAGCTCGTCTGCGCTGACGTATTCGTATGCTTGGACCTCATTGGGGTTAATATTTAGCTCGACCTTTGCTTTTATGAAGAGGATGTAGTCAACTGCGTAGAGATTAGTAGGAACGATTGCTTAGCTGATGGTGGATTATATACTTTCGTGTTCTCCCCACAAACCATCACTCGGAGCCTTGTAATGAATACGAGTTAGGAACTTGAAGTTGTCCAATGGGACCTGGCTTGAAGGAATTCCGAGCTCTTGGCCGAGTTTACGCTGGGCAGCACGACGGACACCCTGGATAGCTGCTGCAAGATCGGCTCCGGTCTCGCCGGGAATGCCCAAAGGGTGAGAACAGCAGGTGTTGGTCCACCTGGCTAATTAAGGCGGAGGGCAGGAAGGTTAGTCTCTCGAGTGTCGAGGAAGATTTCTGAGGGATCCTTACCAGGGAAGGTGATCTTCTCATCTGCACGCTGCTGCAGAAGGAGACGGCCATCCTCTGGGTTGAACAGAAAGACGGAGAAAGCACGATGGAGGAGTCCAAGATCAATGTTTTTCATCAAGTGGCCTGGAGTCGTTCGGTTAGCTCTTTAGCCCTAGAAGCTTGAAGACCGGGCTGAATTTAAAACTCACAAACTTTCTTGGATGCACTTCCAATTGGTTTGTCATCTTCATCCAACACAATGCAAACCTCCTCCATCAAACGAACTTGCTCCTCATCGTAGCCTTCGAGTTCTCGAGAGCCCCCTTCGCCAGTGGTAGCATTGGCAGAACTAGCAAGGGACGAATCAATCTCAGGGAATAGACGGAGAATATTCTCTGCAGTAATCGGCTGGGCTTGGCCCCGAGCAGCCACCGTGGTGGTGGTAGTCGCGGTAGACATTGATCCAACGGTATCCTTAGCTTGTTTGGCATTTAGTATTTCTTACTCTCCTTTTTTTTCTCCTAGGGATGCAGATGGGATGGCTGGCTGATGCAGGAAAGGGTAATTACTTTACCTGAACTGCTATGCAGCGGAACCTGAGCTTGGAGAAGGTAATGCAGTGTAATGGTGGTTGGTTAGTGGAGGTGGTGGAGGTGGTGGTGGTGGTGCTAGAGGGCAGGAAAAGCACGAATGGTGGGAGGGATATCAATATGAATAGAGCTTTGCCGTCGGGGGGAGGACCCTGACTGCATGTTATTATATTTTGTCCCTCCTCATCGCACCACGCGCTCATCCAACTTCTACCAAAGGAAGAAACACCCGAAAGCAGGGATTTGCAAAATATACGGAGGTACGGTATAGCCCCTAAATATTGTATATTTTACTTGCAAGGGGGTTCGGCTAGCGCGGGCGAAGCATGGAATTAGGTATGATGACTGCCTAATTGAGTATGACGACTACCCTGTTCATTCCCTAACCCCTGCTAGCTGAACACCAGTCCTTGGTAAAATATACAATACTTAGGGGTTATACCTCCGTACAGTACCGGTATGGCAAAAAAATCCCAACGTGTCCGAGTGCCCCATACAAATTCAAAGTCCCTGTTTTCGGGTACTGGTACTTCCTGCTGCTACGAGTATGAGAGAACCTTGGTCCACCACAATCTACGACAAAGGTTACCGGTGCGATAAATTCAATTGGACCTAACAAAAGAGTGCGGATAAATTGCTTGGTCCCCGAGACAAAGATTGCCACTGAGACAAGCCAACTGCAGAAGCCACACAAACAACAAAACAACGACGGGAGAGTGAGGCAGCTCGGACGAGCGACTAAGGATACAGTATCATCAGTTCAAGTACTACTCGGGTATACCAACTTTCAAAGTTGGTTTTTTTTTTCTTCTAGGGTTGTGCATAGGCCTACTGTCTGCCCCATTCAACTTCACATCTATTAACCGCATCGATACCGGTAATGGGTGTCCGGCAAAAGTAGGTAGCGCTTGAGCGCATTGCCGTTGACCCACAGTACTGTACTCGAGTACGCCAAAAAAAAAGAAAGAGAGGGAGAGAGGGAGAGAGAATATTTTCCAATAAACCAAACATTTGGTTCCGCAGAGAGAGATGGAGGGAAAGAAGGCAATGGAAAAAAATTTTGCGAGAATTTTTTTCTCTTTCTGCTTGCTACCTGCATACGCACTCTATCTCGCTCAGGCTAAGTTCAATTCCAAAAGGTCACGGACTGGTGTGCGGTGTTGATAAAGGGGTGTCTACCATAGTGATGCCAATATGCCAGCTTTCACTCTGGTGGATGAGCATTGAGCTTTGAAAATTTCCCTCGCATTTCTGCGAGTCTCAAAGGTCAGAGGGGCAGTAGCCTGGGGTCCACTTGTATGGTATCGGTAGCAGATTGCTATGCTATCTGCAGTATTATATGTACCCAGGTTCAGAATATCGAAGCACTCGCCCTTTGTTCGGCTGCAGCCACGAGGTAAAGGCAATCTTTGTGGACCCCACCCTTCAAGATGACGTCGTACCGTACTTTTCTTTTTTTATATTTTTTTTTTGTTTGATCCTTGGGGGGGTTTGGTTTGGAGGGAGAATTGTTTCCTAGAGAGGGGCCGTGATCTAACTTATCGAGTCAACTTCAACCGTCTATACGAAAAAAAAAGCCCTCCTCTTTCTGCTCCTCCTCCACCTCACTTCCTCTGCTGCAGGTCTTTCTCCCTCATCCTCCCCTCCCATCCGTCCCATCATTCTGAGAACCGCTGGGGAAACTATCTACCCAACCTTTCCATCCACCCAGTTGTTCTTACACCTACTTAAGAGCACCTTCTACCACCCTCTCAGCTCACTGTTCTTGAATTCCCGTATAGACAGCGTTCTCTCTTCCATCCCACTTCTTAACCACCGCAATGGATCTCACTCATACTTCCAAAAGGACTGTTGCTCCTGCCACCGCTCCCGTGAAGAAGGTTGCGAAGAGCAATGCTCCCGGCAGTATGCCCACTGATGGCACCGGCATCGTCGAGATGGACCCATGGCTCGGACCATTCAAGGACGACCTTCGTCATCGCTTCTCTAAGGCTAACGAATGGATTCAGAAACTCAACAACCATGAGGGCGGGCTGAAGGAATTCTCGAAAGTTAGCAAATTCGTCCGAGCTGTGTCAATCCTTTCATCTAATGCTGATATTATGTTTGCTTGTTCTAGGGATACGAGAAGTTTGGCATCAATGTTGCTCGTAATGGGACTATCACCTATCGCGAGTGGGCTCCAAATGCTGTAAATGCCAATTTTATCGGAGATTTCAGTAGGTTTGCCTTAGCTCCTAAACCATATCTGGTTGTTTTCTCACCAATCCAGATGGCTGGAATAGGCAATCTCATCCAATGAAGAAGAATGGATTCGGCGTTTGGGAAATAACTCTCCCACCTGTCAACGGAAAACCTGCTATCCCCCATAACACCAAAGTAAAGGTGAGTTACACTCCAAATTGCCCATCCTACTTTTCACATATTTTGACCCCTTTTAGATCGACTTTCAACTCCCTTCGGGCGAGAGAGTAGATCGCCTTCCAGCGTGGATCAAACGCGTCACTCAAGACCTTAGCGTTTCCCCTGTATACGATGCCGTCTTTTGGAATCCCGAGAAGAAATATGTCTTCAAGAACCCTCGCCCCAAGAAGCCCAAGTCTGCTCGTGTCTATGAAGCGCATGTGGGTATCAGCACGACGGAATATAGAGTTGGGACCTATACCGAATTTACCGCAAACGTCCTTCCTCGGATAAAGAAGCTTGGATACAACGTAATCCAGCTTATGGCTATCCAGGAGCATGCTTACTATGCTTCTTTTGGATATCAAGTCACTTCGTTCTTTGCCGCTTCTAGTCGATATGGAACTCCCGAGGAGCTTATGGAACTGATCGATACTGCTCACGGAATGGGGATCACAGTCCTTCTTGACATTGTCCACTCTCACGCATGCAAAAACGTCCTTGACGGAATCAACATGTACGACGGCAGCGACCACCTCTATTTCCACGAGGGGGGACGGGGTAGACACGAATTATGGGATTCTAGACTCTTCAACTATGGGCATCACGAAGTATTACGTTTCCTCATCTCGAATTTGAGGTTTTATATGGAGGAGTATCAATTTGACGGCTTCCGGTTTGATGGCGTCACAAGTATTCTCTATACTCACCACGGAATTGGAACGTATGTTTAAGCCCGGTCGTTCTGACTAATGCACACTAACGGGCGTAGGGGTTTCTCTGGTGGGTATCACGAATACTTTGGGAGCAACGTCGACGAAGAAGGAGTAGTATATCTCATGCTGGTATGAAAGTTAGCCCAATCTTTGCCCTGCTTACTAATATTTCTGCAAGGCCAATGAGATGATCCACGAAAACTTTCCCGAGGCGATAACAATTGCAGAAGACGTATCTGGAATGCCCGGCCTGTGTGTTCCCCTTGCCCTTGGGGGTGTCGGCTTCGACTACCGTCTTGCGATGGCCATCCCAGATATGTGGATTAAGTTGTTGAAAGAAAAAAAAGACGATGAATGGGATATGTCCAATATCTGCTGGATTTTGACCAATAGACGACACGGGGAGAAGACTATTGCTTATGCGGAGAGTCACGACCAAGCGTATGTTAACACATCTAATCCATTGCTTTTCTGGTGCTAACGATCGCAGGTTGGTTGGAGACAAATCGATTCTCATGTGGCTCTGTGACAAGGAGCTCTATACTAACATGTCGACACTCACCGACTTTACCCCTATCATTGAGCGCGGTCTTGCCCTCCACAAGATGATAAGACTCCTAACTCACGGATTGGGCGGTGAGGGCTATCTCAACTTTGAGGGAAATGAATTCGGCCACCCCGAATGGCTGGATTTCCCTCGTGCCGGTAACAACAACTCTTTCCACTACGCTAGACGGCAATGGAATATCCTCGATGACCCCCTCCTGAGATACAAATTTCTCAACGACTTTGATGCTTCCATGCAACATCTTGAACAACGCTACGGATGGCTGCATGCGCCCCAAGCCTACATTAGCTTGAAGCACGAGGGTGATAAGATCATCGTATTTGAGCGCGCAGGATTGGTTTTTGTATTCAACTTCCATCCTACAGTAAGTTGAAATCCCTATGATATTGATACCGGGACATTCTAAACACTCATCTGTCCACCACCTACAGGAGAGCTTTGCGGATTTCCGGATCGGAATCGAGCAAGCAGGAACATACCGCATTGTGTTGAACACTGACCGGAAAGAGTTGGGAGGGTTGGGCCGGATCGACGAGAGTGTTCGCTTCTTCACAACGGATTTCAACTGGAACGGGCGCAAGAACTTCACACAAGTTTACATTCCTACAAGAACTGCTATTGTGAGCATATCCAACTTTCCTCTTGATTGCTGCTAGCTGACATTTTTTCTAGGTGCTCGCTTTGGAGGATGCTTAGATTTTTACTTTGTTAGGGCGGTGTCGCGTCGCGCGTACAAAGAGTTATCGTTCACGGTTCGAGTA